ACCGCTGCCCTGGCTCCTAAAGCACCGGAGCAAGTTCCTAGAAGGTGCCGAACCCCGGGTGGTGGAGCAGTACGCCAGGGCCTACCTGTGGTATCTTCTCATATAGGTCGTGTTTCCAGACTGCTCTGGGGACAATGCCCTATGGATGTATCTCGACTTCCTAAAGGACTGGGATGCAGGGTATAGTTGGGGGTCCGCCGGCCTCGCATATCTATACCATTCGGTAAGGGAATATCACACTGTTTCAAATATCATGGACGTGTGCTGCTTTAGTTTATGTCATCTTATCGTATATGTGTTTTTTATCTTGACGATGCAACCCAGAGGACGGAAGACACGTCCGGTATGTGTGGATGTGTCTGGGGCCTCTCCTTTGGATGTGAGAGCGAATACCGGTGGGGCGTCCGGAGAAGTTGCGCCAGCGTGAATGGACTGACTATGGTGAAGATGACGAAGATGATCGATACCCGACCGTTGCATACGCTTAGGACGTGGTGGGTGTCTACACGGGCACATCCAAGGCTTTGTACAAGGTCTTCACCAACGAGCTTGATGCTCTGACGGCTTTCAAGGTAGAACTAGATTTTGAATATTTTTGACGACACTTTCATGTGAGCTTACCATTTTTGGTACTAGGTTAATTGGCGGCCGTATAATGAACGAGCGTGGGGGTTCGAGCTGAACGTGATGTGCAGGCAAGACCGGCTTCTCTGGCGGTGCATCGTGCCCATGATTTGTGTCTATGCCGTCGAGTACCACTTGCCACAGTGCGTTGCCACGCAATTTGGTAGGGTGCAACGTACACCACCAGGCGGTCTCATTGATACCGGTGGCTCTGACCTACATTTGAGTGCATTCTTCTCCATTTCCGTGTTTTTGTTTTGATGTTTTACATTCTTTATTATGGTGTTTTACATTCTTTCTTATGCTTTGCTGGATGAGCAGGCAGAAGAATCGGTCGATCATAGATTGGGGAGAGCAACATGCCAGATACGTGAAGGAATGGACT